CCCGCTCCCCTGCGCGGCGTGGAGCCTGTGATGAGCTGCCGTACTTCTGACACCTCGTATGAGAACTGCGCTCGCAGTCTGATTATCCGCGCGCGACTGAGGCTTCGGGGTGCGCCGCGCGTGCGGGGGGGGGCTGGGTGCGACGCTGCCTCGTCCGGGGCGGGGAGGGGGCCTCTGCCCACGGTGCGGCGCTGTGTGCCTTTCAGGGCGGCGGGGGAGCCGCGGCCGCCAGCCCGCGGCCTGCTGGTGAGGCGGGAGCCCGGCGCGCCTGGAGTCTGAGCAGGAGAGCCACGTGGTGAGTCGGTGGGAGCAGGGCGGTCTCCCCGCGCGTGCTGCCTCGCGGGGACCCCGCGGGAGGGACGCGGAGGCCGCGTGCGCGGAAGCAGAGATGACCGCGCTGCTCCCCTCCTCCGAGCCCTCTGGCGTCAAATAAACGTGGTGTTCCCGAGACCTGCGAGTGCCGCGTGCTTCTTCGTCGGCCACCGCTCCCGGACCGGGAAGGCCACCCGCGGGGGCCCGCCGCTGCCCCGGGTGGGGGCGATCCTAACGCAGGACGCGCGCCCTGCCTGACGTCGGGCAGTCCCCGGCCGGATGCCTGGAACCCGCCCTGCTCCGCTGTTTCCGCCGGGCCCAGGGGCCGCGGCAGGGGAGGACCTGGTCCTGACGGGATCACAGTAGGGCCCTGGACCCAGAGAGACGCACCCGCTGGGATGGGAGGGGAGCCCGGTGACCTCCCGGAGACTTCTCCGGTGTCACAGGTCCGAGTTCTAGGGAGGGAGCATGTCGGCGTGTGGAGTGGCCGTGTGCGTGGATGCGTGGTGCGGCCCGACTGCCCCCAGGCGAACTGATGCTGAGACTCCAGGGGCAGGCACGCTTGGGTTCCCAGAAGTCTGCGGAGCCCGAGTGGGCCCGTCTGCCGTGCGGCGGTGAACGGCTGCAGTGTGTGGCGGCCCTGGAATGGATTCCGGTTGAGTCAGCGCTGACCCCATCACCGCCAAGCCTCACCGTGGGACCGCCAGAGGGGCATCTGCTGGGTCTCCTCACCACCGCAGGTTAGCACCCCACCCACCCGGTCTCTGCGTCACCGCACACGGGAGCTCGCCATGGGATCAGGCCCGAGTATGGTCCTTGAGACCATGATCAGACATCTTGAGGGGTTTTCAGGAGGCTGGAGTCAGGATGAACCCCAGCAAATTGAGAACCCTATGGGAGTTGGGGCGGCACCCCTTTAACGGCCCGTGGCCTTCGGAAGGGACACGGGACGTCCCAACGGTTTGTCGAGTACAGCGAGTCATGACGGGAGAAGCAGGACAACTAGACTCTCCCCCTGGGGTCTGAGTCACCCCATCCAAGTGGCCCAAAGAAGCCCCAGCCTCCGCACATCCTAGCCGGAGATCCCGAAGATGAACTGATCTCGTCCCCAACGTGTGCAACCCCAAGGCCGTCTGCACCTGGCCCCCAGTTCCAGACATTCCACTGCCATCCATCTGTCCCCACTGTCCCCAGGCCTGGAGGATCCACTCTCTCTGGGACCAGCCTCCGGGCTGTGCCCCAGGCCGGGTGCATGCGCCCTCCAATGCTGGTGCAAGAGTCACTGGAACCCAAGAGGCATGATGAGGATGGGATGGATGGGATGGGATGGGATGGGAACCCGGCCGTTCTGTGATGTATTACCAGCCTTCCTCCACCACCGGCCTCCTCGACTGGAAAGATAACCCCCCACCCTCCTGAGAAGCCACAGGCTATGGTAGACCTCCTGGAGCCCCTCTTCTAGACTCCTGGGCCCCCTTGGGAGGACTGCCAGCAGATACCATGCCATGTTTAACAGGGAAGGAGAGTAAGGGGAGGAGCACGCACCAGCCGGAGGCTTCGGCCCAGCTGCCTGGGCTAGAGCAGCTGCACCTGAGCAGCGCCCGGCATGGGACTTCACCACAGATGAAGGACAGGCCTGCATCCGCCGATGCCAGGAGGCCCTCTGGGGAATCCAGGCAGGAGCTAAAAAACCCACGTACATGACTAAGGTATCCCCGGTCACCCAAGAACCAGGGAGTCCCCAGGGACGACCACGAGGCTGAAGCTACCAGATGTGCACTCCATTTGACCTTGAGGCCCAGGAAAGCTGCAAATGGTCAACCCCTCCTTCATGGCTCAGGGTGCCCCAGACAGGAGGAAAAACTTGAAACCTAGTGGGTTTCACTGGGACAGATGAACATCACCCAGCTAATAGAGGCTGCGAGTAGGGTCTGCACAAACAGGGAGGTCACAGCCGAAAGGGAAGCTGAAAAGAAAAGTCCGCTTCCCTGCCATTGTCCTGAGGGGAAAGGACGATCGTGCCCAGGTTTCGCCTGCCATTAACACTCCATAGTGACAACGGGCCTCCGTCTGCTACATCGTACAGGTCTAGACCAGATCTCTCAGCATCACCTGGAGACCACACTGGCTACGGGCCCCAAAGTTCAGGGAAAGTGGAGCAAATGAATTGTACCCTCAAGGAGACTAAAGCAAAGTTTGTCAGGAAACTAAGCTTCCGTGGCCAGATCCGCTACCCCCAGCTCTCCCAGGTGCTCACTGCATGCCTGGGACACTGGGTTTCTCCTCTTTCTAGTTATTATACAGATGGCCTCCCTGGTGCCAGGGAGTCTCCCAGGAAACAGCCCGTTGGAGACAAAGGAGCAGTTTCAGGCCCAGGGGGGCCACCGTTAATGAGTCACAAAGATACACCATTGAGAGGACCCCAATCTCCTTAGGGTCCCCAGTACCCTTCAGACGGGATGCGGTTTGAGTCCGAGATTGGAGGAAACATCCCCTCAAACCACAGCAGACAGGGCCCCGCACTGTGGCTCTAGCCTCTCCTGCCCTGAAGGTCTCGGGTGTCCCCTGTGGGTCCACTACTCGGGAGGGAAGAGAGCTCATGCAGATGAGTGGCACCAGTGGAAAGTCCAGCCAGAGCCTGTGGGCCCACTCCAGCTTCGCCTTCAACGAGTCCCGACCGAGATGGACATCAACTCGCATGGTCCCTAGCGCTGGTCGGTGTCTTAGAAGTCGGACTGTACACGGTTGCCCTTCTGACTAGACTTTCCCCCAGAGACTTGCCAGTGCTGTTGGCTTATTGTGTTGCCTTCGGATGCGTTGCTACATTTTCCTTAAAGGCTTCCTCACCCTCGCCTCCCTCCCCTTGACCCGGGGAACCTCAGTGCTCCTGCGTGAAGTCAGACAGATGGGGTGCTGGGTTCAGTGCTCACACCTACATGCCTGCCGCGCGCTGCCAACAAAATAAGGCCCCCATCTGCATAAATCACTGGAGGAAACGCTGGATCGAACAGTAACCGGCACCTGGCGGGACTTGAAGATTAGAGGTGATGCGGGCGCCACAGTTCACTGGACCCGTCCAACCCACTGTGGGCAGTCAGATGGGGGAGGAGTTCGAGAGGAAGACAAAGGCTGAACAGACCTTGAAGGCACTCTTCCTCCATCCTCCTCATCACTGTTAGTCCCCACATCCTAAATACCCTCAGAGCTCATAGAAAATACCAGGCGGACCACTGCCTACGTATTAGCTTTGCAAGGCTACCAACCCAGAGTAGATGGAGATGATGCCCTCTAAGCTAAGTGTTTAAAGGGGCATCAAAGGGGGCGGATATCTTAAGGAAAACTTGTGAGATGGCCGACTGGGCCAGCAGGGGAATCCCAGTCCCTGCCCCGCTCGCCATGCCCGCCAAAGTGCCATGTACACGGAACTAGCCATGTATAAATTACTCCCCTTGTGTGTGCTTGGGCTCAGACCTTTGGAGATCACTTTCCTCTGAGCCCGCCGCCGTGTCAAGTAAACCTCATATCCCCCAAGGTCTCTGAGTGCCACTTGGTTCTTCGGTTGAGTGATCCAGTCTGGGTTCTGCAACAGGAGCACCAGCTCGTCTCCCAGCAGTCTTGGGACAGAGCCAAGGGAGATGGTCGGTCGTACCATGACTCCCCCTCTATTGGAACTGCCTTCTCCATATTTCCCTATAAAGCCAGAAATACTGGGGGCTTTTTTGGCCTGTGCCTTCGGTAGGTCAGGAACTCTTTAATTCTTCCCTAACAGGCCATGGAGCTCTGTTTTCTATTCCGCTGGGTCTTTGAAGGGCGAGGGGAGTGGACATGAACCACCTAGCCTCTCCCGTGATCCCTAGAGACCATTGGGGTTCCAAGCAACCTAGTTACAGGCGGGGTGCAACTCTCTGAGTGTTAAAGATGATCTGTACTTTGCCGAGGGGTCTAAAGGGGGATTTCAGCAGAAGAGAGACGCAGGCCAGAAAACAAAACTTTATTCACTAGGACTGAAAACAAAGCTTATTAATCTAAAGATAGACTTGAAAATTTGAGTACAACATGGAGCGCACTACCAGCCCCCAGCTTGACTTCACCACGCAAGGTCTCGGGGGGCTGGCGGTTCTGGTTTCCCTGACTTTCTGTGATTTCCCACATGCTGTTCATCTATTACAAAGCCCCAACCTTGGCATTCTCCAAGGTGGCGAGAAAGGAGATCCGTGTTGACGTTGGAACCAGAGTCTCCTAGTGTGTGAGCTGGAAGCAGGTGGCTCTGGTCCTTGGGGCATAAATGCATGGTATGGTTTGCGGTGCCGCCCTCGGGCCCAGGCACGGGCAGGAGTCCTGGCTTTCCCTGCCTGGACAGCATGTCCATGGCTTTCTCTAGGGGTTAGGCGCTGGGGCCCGGCCTCAAGGCCAGGCGTGTCCAGGAGGGGGCAGCAGAGGGACTTGCGCTGGCTGCTCCCTCCTGTACCCAAGACCCTTGCTTTTCCTTCAAGGCCCTCAGGCAGCAGCAGGTGAAGGGGGCGCAGACCCACTGGCTCCTTAAAGCCTCTTGGGCCTTAGCCTCTGGGAAAGGCAAGACTCCGTCTGGGGGTCCCAGGAACGGATATCTGAGGATTGAGTGCGGGATGACTGATGGGGGGGGCGGGGGCTGTGGAGCCTCCATCCAGCCTTGCAGGGCCCTCCCAAGTTCAGGGTATGCAGCAGGAGGTGCTTCGGCCCTCCCTCTTGACATAGTCGTGCAGCCGGAAGCGGGGCTCGCTGGGGGCCTTCATGGAGCGCTGCTTCAACTCCCTGTGGGGCGGGGGTGACCATGGGACAGTGGCTTCTACCCCAGCAAGGAGATACAGACCCCAGGTGTGGGTGGGGGGGTTCTTCCTGGTCCAGGAAGCAGACTAGGACTTACTTTGCAATGGCGGTGAAGGCCAAGTCCACATTGAGGCCTGTCTTGGCACTGGTCTCCATGAAGGGCAGCCCGTACTCCTGCAAACAGGTGCTGCCAGCCAGGTGGCAGCCTGGTGGGGACAGCCCGAGCCCTGGACCCCAGGGACACCGCTGGCCACCCACCCTGCCCTGGCTCACCTTGGCCAGCTTCTCCCCATCCTCCCTCTTGACCGCACGCTCCTGGGCAGAGTCCACCTGGCACAGGGGTCTTGGTGAGAACCCGCCCTGGGCTTGCCCGCCCCGCCCCCGCCCCAAGAGCCAGGGTGGAGGAGGGTGGGCCGGGGCGCTCACCTTGTTCCCCAGCAGCATAAGCACCACATCATGCTGGGCGTACTCCTGGGTCTCGGTCAGCCAGGCCTGGGGGCAAGCTGAGGCCAGCTGGAGCCTGGCACTCCTGCGTGCCCCTTGCCCCTCCAGGCCACACTGCACAAAGCGCCTGTTCGGCTCTGGCCGACGGCAGGGGCCCAGAAATAGTGGTCCCCGTGCCAGGCTGAGTCATCGCCGCAAGTACCTTTGACAGAGCTAGAAGGTCCCCAGACCCCGTTTGGCTCACAGGCACCCCAAGCCACCAGAGGGGCCACTCCTCCCTGTCAGTAGGGTGCTCAGCCCTCTGGGACCCTAATGCCCACACGGCCTGTTCCGACCACCACAAGGGGGGAAACCACTGACCTGGATATTGTCAAAGGAGGCCTTGTTGGTGACATCATAGAGCAGCAGCAGTGCTGGGGGCAAAGGGTCCGTGAGAACACCGCCAGGGCCCACAGCACCTTCCTGTCACCCACACCCTCGGGCATCGCAGCCTCCACACTGCCTGCCGTGTGCACTCCCAGGGCACCTTCCTCTGAGCAGAGGCCAGGGCAGCAAGGCACCCGGCGGGCACAGCCTCCTGTTTCCCCGGGCTGGCGCCCATGCCCACCAGCTCACCATGGGCGTCGCGGTAGTAGGCGTGGGTGACGCTGCGGAACCGCTCCTGGCCTGCTGTGTCCCAGATCTGCAGTGACAGGCACAGCCCACGAGTCAGGGCTGCCAGCCCCTGTCCCTCACCCACCCCCTACCCTTACACTCACCCCCACCCCCGCCACCTCTCACCTGCAGCTTCACCTTCATGCCGTCCACATCCAGAACTTTGTTCTGAAAGACAGCCAGCCAGCTCCGCTGAGCCCCGCAGCTAGAGACAGTGCTGCCCCCTGCTGGGGGGCTCCTGACGGTGCAGCGGGGGTGGCCGCAGGGCCAGGCCAGGACGGAGCCTGAGATGGAGCAACTGCTGGCATGCCCCCGAAATTCACTCTTATCCTATCTGCCCCTCAGCTGGCTGGTTCTGTCCCCGATGCCCACCTCCTGGTTCTCGTCTGGCCACTTCGCCTCCCTGTACCTGCAGGTAAACTTGCGCCTTGAACCCATATCCTGGGATCCCCCCAGCTCTCCCCGCCCGGTGCCTGGTGATTTCTAGGCCCCTCTCCCACTCAGCTGGCCCTCCTGATGGACTTGGAGGGGGCTGCCCCCTGCAGCCGGCCGTGTCCCGTCCCGGGCTACGTGTGTGCTTTCTCTGCCCACCTCGGAGACCTAGCACACGGCCCCTGCCGCTCCACCGCCCTCAGTGATGCAGCCCAGTCAGTCGTGGAGTCCTGTTGGTCTGGCCCTCCCCCTCCTCCCTGCCCTGCCACAGCAGCTCTCTGGACCAGCCCTGCCGCTTCACCTCCCCCTGGCGCCTAGCCCTAGTCGGCTTCTCCGCACCTCCTTGCCAGCTCAGGCTCACCACATGCATCTGTCCCCGTACCCTGGCAGCCTACCAATGCCTGCCCGCAGGCCCGGAGGCCCTGCCCCAACCCCTCTGAGGGGCCATCAGCTGCTCACAGCTCTACATGTGATGCTGCTTCTGCTCAGAGAGCCACCCACACGACTTAGGTGAAGTCATCCTGGTATAACCCCAGGCCCATTACTAACATTCTGTGCCTCAGTCTCTCCATCCACAAATGAGGATAACCAGGGTGCCCATCACAGTGGGTTTCTGAGCTACTGTGTGCGAAGTACTGAGGACTGGCCCAGAGCGAGAGCTAAACATTTGCTCAAATTTAAAAGCCTCCCTTCCTGCTGGGACAACAGCTGCCACAGGACAGGACCTGGTACAGTAACCACAGAGCCCAGAATTTGTCCTGGTACACAGGGGGTGCACACTGAGTGTTTGCCGGCTGGTAATGGTCCCCCAGCAGGCCCTCGAAGTTCAGAACTACTGGCAGGGAGTGGCCCAGTCCCACGGTTCCCATCTGCTGGGTGGGACTGGGGCCTGCCAACCACTGGCTGAGGGAGGCCCTGGTGGCCTCTGGCCCTGGTAGGTGGGACCACACCGCCTCCCTCTTCTCCGAGCTCCTGCTGTCAGGGTGCTTCTGGGTCTCCCAGGAACCAGTGGCAAAGCCATCTGCCAGGCAGAGAGGAGGCTGGGGAGGACACCCCGCCTTCACTGGCACCCTTGAACTGGGGTGTGAACCAAGCGGCCTCACCTCCCTCACCACCTGCCCCAGAACCAAGAGGGAGGTGAGAAGGGGGAAGTCGGGGCCAAAACAGGCCAAGGACCACGTGTCCAGGGCCTACACTCCCGTTCTGGCACCTGAACCCTTGTTTCATCTCAGAAGACTTGAGGGGGACTGCACCCCCAAGCGGGGTAACTAATGGCTCCCCAGACTGGAGGGAGCCCCCTTTCCCGTTCCCAGAATGGGCCTCCCTCCCAGCCTTCCGCCAACTGGGTCTAATTAAAGGGTGAGAAAAATGCAAATTTGGGATTTGTCTAGAACACACCAGCACCTTGGCAAGGCGCTCAGACTTTAGACTGGTGGGTAGAGGGGGCTCGGCTGCTCTGGCCCTCGTCATTCCCTGCTGGCCCTACAGGCTGTTAGGGTGTCAGGGGCATGTGGGGAGCCCTGAAATGCAGGGGCACTCCCCCCCCCCAAAAAAACCGAGAGACACAGCCCTCCTGCTGGGGGCAAAGTGGGAGGGGGCTCTGGCAGGGGGGAACAGCCAGGTGGGAGCGTTTCCTGTGAGCTTCCTTGCCCAAGGGTAGGGACCCCCCAACCCCCAGCTCCAAGAGGGGGCATGTACCCCACAGCCACTTCTCTCTTCTGTCCTTGGCAGGCTGCCTGGCCTCTGTGTACAGTGGGGCAGTGATGTTAGCCTCCCAAGGGAATATGGGATTGAGTTCCCTCTGATGACCACCCCCGGGGCACCCAGCCCATCCACCCTGAGGCACAGAATACAGCCCCAGGCACAGGGAGTGCAACCCCCTACTTCAGTCAAATGCCACCATCACCCATCTCCAGGATCCTTAGGGTATCAGGAGTTGGAGCATTTTGGTGGTTAAGGCATCTCGCCTCAACTACCTTGACCCTGAGCATCCCAACCAGGACGTATCCCAGGGCTAAGGGAGAACACTACCCAGGTGTGTTGTGAGAACTTAGTGATGGTGCAGGAGGGTGGGGCAGGGCATGGCTGGGTCGGCTCAGTGCTGAGGACATCAGCCTCCATTCTCACCCGGAAGTCGATGCCCACAGTGGAGATGAAGGTCCCCGCCAGGAATGCCCCATCCTTGAAGCGCACGAGCAGGCAGGTCTTCCCCACACCTGAGTCCCCCACCAGCATAACCTGGGGCAAGTAGGATGATCAGAGGTGTTAGGACCAGAGGGGACTGAGTTGCTGGCCCACCCAGAGGGGTGTCTGGTCCTCCCTGAGCTGGCCTGGTCAGGAGTAGATGAACTGTCCCAGGCCTGCAAGGAGGAGGCGGAGACAGGGCGGCTATGGTCCCAGCTTCCACCTCCAGAAGGTTCGGTCCCCTTTCGCTTGAACAGTAGTCTGTCTCAATTAGTGGGGAGTGGGGGTGGCTGCTTCCATCCAGGGCCCTACCTAACCCCACCCCCAGACCCTAGACACCCAAGCTTGATCTGGAAGGGGAGCTGTTGGGGCTTGGTAGGGAGTGGAGTCTGGAGGTTGGTGGCTGGAGACCTTTGGAGAGGCCTCTGGGGGTAGAGACCATGGGGCTTCTTCTAATCTCATAAGATTCTGGAGGAATTTGCCACATGAGGTCAGATCTTGGCCTGAGAAGGCCCAAGTCAGGTCTGGGGACCAAGACCAAGAGGGAGCAATTAGGCCTCCCCCTCATTTACCCCTCCCCCAGCCTGCTGTCAAAGGCTCCAAAACCTGAAGACAGTGGCGACAACCCCTGCACAGGCTTCTGCCTAGGTCTGAAGGAGGCCCTAGTGTTCCCCACCCCACTGGCAAACCTCTTCTTAGTCTCCCCTTTCCCCCCAAAAAGAGGAGACCCACAGACCCTGGGGGTGAGGGAAGGCAGCATATGGGAAATGGTGAAACTGGGGCTCGGGTGGGTGCGGGGCCCATTAGGGAATGGGGAGGGAGCGCCTGCCAGGTTCGGGACCCCTTGTCCGACCCTGCCAGCTGGGGCGTTAGGGGGCAGGCCATGCCAGCTGTTGGGTATCTGAAATCCGGGTCTGACAGCTGTGTGTGTATGCGGTGCGCGGTGTCAGCCGTACCAGCTACAGGGTGCCGCTCGGGCGGGCTCCCTGCCCAGGGTCCGCGGAGCCCTCCATACTCTCCCCGACCCCTCCCCGCTGGGCTCAGTCCGAGCGCCACCTGCTGCACTCGCGTGGGGTGGGGGCCGGCTCACCTTGAAGGCGACGTCGTAGAAGTCGCCCCCGCCAAGCGAGGGCCAGCCGGGCTGCGGGGGCCCGTTGGGCCGCGCCTGGGGGACAGGTCGCGCAGTCCCAGGGCGCGCGGGCCGGGACCCATTGGCGGCGGGCAGCGCGGAGGCGGCGGGCGCGCTGGCCCCCTTGGTCTTGGGGGTCTTCTTCCTGGACATGGCGGGCGGGCACTCAGGGAGCTCCCGCTGCAGCCGCCGCGCCCCGGGCAGCCCAGCTCCCCGCGCTCACGGAGCGCGACGCGGACCCGAACCCGTCCCGCGGCAGCGGTGGCCGCGGCATCCCGGGCACCCCGCTCCCCGCCGCCCCGCCCCCGCGCCCCACAGCCCGCAGCCACTCAGGCCCGGCCTCCCGCCGCCGCCGCCAATGGCCGCGTTGGGGCGGGGGCATGCAAATGAGCCGGCCGCCCGGGGGCGGGGTCACGAGGCCCCCTGCACTGCCCTAGGTGAGCCGGGTGGGCGCGCCTCTGCCGGGTGCGGGCAGCTCCCACCCTGCCCTCGGGCCCTGCGACCCCGCCTCCGTGGGCCGCTGGGCCTGTCGCTTCCCCGCACTCTGTACACCACCCCTCCCTCACGAGATGGCCTCTGGGCCTGGGACCGGGTGGGTGGAGGAGAGTGCCCCGAGACTGGGGCGCTGAGGCAGTGGGACTGCGTGGGGCGGACACCTTGGGTTTCTGTCTCTTCTCAGCCAGAGATGCCAGCTGGCCCGCTGTGTCCCCACTGCTCCCCTTGGGGCAGGCAAACAAACCCCGGGCGCTCGGAGCACTCCCGGCTCAGCTGACAGCTGGTTATGGGCAGCAGGACAAGCTAACGCTTGAGAGCGGCAGGGCGCTCTCCCCCGCAGCTTCTGCCCGCTGGGCTGAAGCCCCAGGATCCTTGGATAAGAGGAAATCCGAGTTACAGGAGCAGCAAGCGCTCTGAGTGGCCCTTACCCCAGGGGTCTGGGAGGAGAAGGAGGTGGGAGGCCCCTCCCCCCAGGAGGTGTCTAGCTCCTTGGCCTTCTGGTGCCAGGTTCTGGCCTCAAGGAGGCCAAGTGCTGACTGTCCCACCCCATGCTGGTCCCTGGCAGAGCAGTCTCCAGAGCCTGACACCTCCCCTGAACTGTCTGTCTCCACCCAGGATTCTCTGGGGTTGGAGAATAAGGCTGAGATGATCGTGGGACCCCGGAGGTAGTGAGCCAACATGGGGCTTTCGGGCAGCGAGTGTAGGCAGAAGGGCAGTGGTTCTGGGATCAGCCTCTGCTCTATACTCCTGTGGCAGCTGGAGGGATGGCCTGGCTGTCCCCCAGGATGTGACAGCTGTCACATGGCCCCTAGCCCATTCAGAGCCCAATAATGATAATGGACAGAAGCTGCCTCTAGGGCTCTGAGGTCTGGGAGAACACAGCCAGGGATTCCCCAGGGGGGTCTGGCAGGGCCCTGCATGGGAGAGGCTGCGGGAAGCTGCCTTTTATTGTGTGTCAGCCACGAGTCGTCCTCAAAACTATCCTGTGAGGTGGGTGGTGCCAGGATCCCCAGTGACTGGGTGGAAAAACTGAGGCCGGGAGACGGGAAGAGAGCTGTCCAAGGTCACCAGGCTGGAAGGTGACAGAGCCAGGATTTGTGGCTGGGAACTCTGGATCCAGAGAACATATCTGGCGGCATTGGCCCAGGACTCGGGAGACCCGTCCCTCAAGGCCTTGTCAGAGCTGGGGGGCAAACCTGGCGAAGCCCTCTGAGGGCCCCTGGGCCTCCTTTCTTGTCTCACTCCTCAGGACCCCTACTTCTTCGAGGCCAATGCCCACATGTGTGGGTCGAGGGGCTTGGGGTGGAGGGTTAGCTCCCCGCTGCTGGGGCCCTGGGGACAGCAGGTGTCCGACACTCCATGAGGCCAATTTCAGGGTGGCTGGCCCAGGCTCTCAGCCCATGCCCACTGACCCCTGGGTCCCAGGCAAGAGGCTCCCTATCTCCTCCTGTCAGCTGTTGCCCAAGGGAAACCAGAAGGGAGTTTGGGTGCCCTAGAGGTGGGGGCTGTAGGTAAGGCAGCTGAGTTGAGGGTGAGGGCTAGTGCTAATGGGGTAACCAGGAAGAGAGAGTGGGGAGCCAGGAGGGGAGGAAGGCTGAAAACAGCCGAAGAGAACTACTTGACCTTGAAACCTTTAAAATTAGAAGAATATATGTAAAAACCCAGGTCTCTGATTTCTTTCAAAGGGAGAGTTCTGGGACCCCGGATCATGCATTCTTCATGCCTCTCTTGCCTTCCAGCCATCCTCCTAATCTTTGATCATTATGTCCCTTGGTTCCTCCATTTGCCATCTGTCTCACTCTCTGGAATGGAAGTTCTCTGGGTACAGGAAGCAGCTTGTCTTGGTCACTGCCGTATTCCTGGCAGCTGGCTGCAGGCCTCGATTAACTTATTAAATTGGTGAAAGAAATATGAGTTAGAAACGGGCCCCACTTCAGGACACATCATTGCTAACAAGGATAAGGCAGCCTGCGTCGCAGTGTGTGTGCAGTGAGGCAAGCCTAGAATAATCAAGTAGCTAGAGCGGGGCTCTGTGGGGGAGGGACATTTGATCTGGGCTTTGAAGGCTAAGTAGGAGTCCAACAGGAGAGGAGACAGAGAGACTTGCTAGGTGGGTGGAGTGAACACATGCAGGGTCAGAGCGCCAGTAGGCAGGCATTCGGAGGAGCAGAGGCCAAAGTGTGGTCCAGTTGCTTGGAGGAAATCCGGCTGGTAACGCAGGAGGGGGCTAGGTTCTAAAGTGAACTTGAATGTTTAGCCTAGGAGCTTGGAAACTGTTCAGCGAGAAGTAGGGAGCCATGCGAGGTTTCTGAGCAAAGCAGCAGAGGACACTGCTACAGGCATGCAGGGGGCGAGAGGAGGGGGGCGCGGTGCAGCCTGTAGACAGGGATATGCGTTGGAGGGGCTGGCAGTAACCCCAGGGGAGGGAACAGGGGCAGAGGAGACTTCCCAGAAATACAGAGGGCCAGTTTGGTGGGAAAGTTCAGGAGCATGGCCTTGGCTGGACCTGGGCTGCCCAGATTACTGGGCTGAGCTAGAGTGCAGCGTAGGGGAGGGATGCCCGTCACCCTCAACTCTCCTGGCATAGGGCTGACTCTGCTGGACAGACAGAGGTCTCCATGTCCCCATGTCTCCGCAGAGAGCTGGAGCAACCCCGCAGCTGTTCCTGCCTCACGGGGCAGACCAGTCTCCAGAGAGGATCCTCACTCCAGCGCCCTCTGGTGGCGCCCGTGCCAGGTGCCTTCACAGACTGGGGCCCCATGCCCTCTGACTTGCCCTCCTGGGGGTCTGGCCCCTTGGTCCTGGAGTCCCCAGACACAACAGCCCTCTAGGATCTGTGGCCTGAGGCAGTCTGTCTCTGGAGCCCCCTTCCCAAGTCAGGCAAGCTGGGGCAGGGATCAGAGTTCTTGACCTGCCGGGCCCTGCTTGGAGCCCCCTCCCCCAGGCAGGTAGCCTTACCTGGCTCCTCCCACCCCCTGTTCTTGCCCCACCCACTTGGCCACCGACATTGGCTCCCAGTGATTGGGGAGAGGGGGTGCTGCCCGGCCTTAGCCCCAGCCTCTGAGCCTCCTGAGAACAGGCCCCAGCCTCCCTGCTCTGCCTCCATGGAGCCCTGAATGCGGAGGTCTGTGACTGAGCAGGACCGGGCTGGGCCGGACTCCAGGGGTCTGTTCGGAAGGGGAGAGCGGCGAAGCTAAGCCCTGTGACCCCAGAGCACCTCCCGTAAGTCAGTCCTCGGGAAGTCCGCTGTCTGCGATCTCAGGGGAGGGACCCTGGCGGGGAAGGGTGCCCGCAGGCAGGAGCCGCAGCTGGATCCCTGACGTGCTACGGGACCCAGGGAATGTGGTGTCTCTGGACCCGCTCCCCTCTCCCTGAAACGAGGGGGCGGGAGGAGCTGATCTCTGAGGTCCCTTCCAGCTCCAGCACCTTCTGTTCTAGGAAATCCACGTGAACGTTGCTATAGAGACGGCAGAGACGAGCCGCAGCAGCTCGGAATTGGACCTCCACCCATAAGAGAGAGGAAAGAGTCACCCCAGGAAACAGCTGACGTCAGGGCTGTGTTCGCCCCCTCCCCCACGCCAGGTGCCTAGGGGCCACACTGAGTGTCCTACTCCTGCAAGGACACACTCCACACCCACCTGCCGTGGGCTCACCTTTGTGGCCCTGAGGCCCTCCTGGGCAAGTGGTAAGGGGTGGGCGTCGGCCCCGCCTCCGTGGGACAGGGACTGTTGGGTGCGGGCTGGGCAGTGGGCTGTTTCCTTGGCGGTGTGCCCGCAGGATCTGCCCTCGGGCTTTCCTTCCCACTGCAGCTCGGGGACTCACACCTGAGTGCTCTGGGTGGTGTCAGGATGCAAAACGTGCGTGCCCTAGAGCCCAGCGGGGCGTGGAGGGGGGCAGAGAGCTGCTCGGATCCAGACTGCAGCAAGGCACGAGGTGGGCCCGCGAGACCTCGGGCTGGAGGAGCGCGGAGCAGCCCCGGAGCTCCTGACTGCCCTCTGGGGGCAAGGGCTCCCCTTGCATCCGCTGTTCTTGTTTTCTTGATTATGAAAGGGCCTCATGATTTGGGGGCGGGGAGCATGTCAGCAACACAAAAGGTAAAGGTAAGAATCAAAGTTCTTGTTCCCTCCAGACCCTGTGCCCTGGGGGTTACCGTTAGGAGGTTTGGGGGTGGGGGGGCGTCTGGGTCTCCCGTAGCTGCTGAAACAAATAATTTAGGCAAACACCGTGCCCCGGTAAAACAGCCCGGACGTGTTATCCTACACTCGGGAGGCCACGGGATGCAGTGAGGCTTCTGGGGTAAAGCAAGCAGGCTTCCTTCTGGGGAGAACCCTTGCCTCTTCAGCGTCTGGTAATCTCCAGCTCGTTTAGACCTGCACATTATATTATACTAAATTCATTGCTTTATGCATGAATATGCATTAAATATACAGAGATGTGACCGTGTCCCCTAAGAATATATAATAAAATCACAATTATCTGATCTTTGCACATTTGATAAAATTTTCCTCCCCAGATCAGATCTGGATAGAGTGTCTTTCCCTGGCGTGGCTCCTACCTTTTCAACTGCTTCCTTCACGATTGGTCTATTTGGGCTTTCTATTTCTGCTGGAGTCAGTTTTAATAGTTTGTCTTGTTCTACTGTCTGGATATCAAAAGTTTACAAACAATTGTATGTCATTTTCCTTTGTAATTTTTTAAAAGGTTTCATTTA